ATCATTCCAAACAAGAAAGTTCATTGGTTTTTATTGTACTTTTCCCTTTTAATTAAGAAAACATTTTGGTACATGGGTGATGGGACAGGACGGGACAAAACCCACTGTCTCATGTGTGGCACAACATGAAACAAAACAAGAATTCACTGTCCTACGTTTGGCACGACATGGAACAAGGACAAGAACTATGACAAGGTGGGACAGAATAGGACAAAAAAAGTTTTTTCTTGTTCCACCAAAATAGGTGGAACAAGATGGGACAGAACCTAAAACATTATTACTCTACCCTAGTTTGATATATAACCTTAATATGGGGGTAGTTTGTATAGTTCTGTCCTTTCCAGTCCTAGTCGTACCAAACACCAGACATACTACTGTTATGTTCAGTCTTGTCCCGTCCAGTCTTGTCTTGTCCAGTCCTACCCGATTGTCCTGTCCTGTTTTGTTCTGTCCAGTTCAGTCATGTCCAATTATGTCTGTACCAAACGCTACCTAAACGTTCACAATTTTATTACGTCTGAATTTAACGGTTTGATTCTGGTTTTAACCGGTCTGATTTTTAACCGGATATTTGATCTTTTTTTTACTTGGTCTTGTTTGGTCTTGTGTTAGATAAATTGTAACTGATTCAAATCAACAATTCCAATCAAATCCCTATCATTTTCGGTTTAATTCTTGATTATTTTATATGTCAAGAACAGTTGAAACACACGAAACTTTCTGGTATTTTAGAATCCCAAGTCTTGATTTTTATGAAATGTTTTAGCTCAGAGTAATCAAACTTAACAAACAAAGGAAAACTTGTTATAACAAAAGTTGATTTTTTAATAGTATAAAATTATATAATTTTAATACAATTTATTATAATTAATTTTTAAATATCACAGTAATTATCTTTGAAAATGCATGATTTAAACGTCCTATTAAATGAACTAATGAACATGTATGCCCACCAAATATATCATCCAAAGTAATTACTGAATGCTAGTTCATTTCAATAATTGCAATAGAAACATTACACTAAGACATGACAAACAAGTAACAAGAAGACAACCCATTATTACACGATCTCCCAACATAAGCATGTGTTTTTCCATCCGTTATGACTTCTTCTGTGACGTTGGCGGCAATGATGGAGGGGCACCCTTCTCTTTTAAATGTCCAGACACGTCAGTGGTTGGACGTATACAATGTTGTTCTGGTATCTTGTTTGGTGAGCTTGCATGCCCGAATTCCTATAAGTATCAATTGAAATTAACTAATATGCGGAAAAAAATTTACAAAAAATGAATCATGATAGAAAATATATGAATTGTCTTTTCTTGAAAAAATTGCTTGAAACACATATATGGGGCAGATCCATGTATTTGAGAGGTTTCACCAAGACGATGTAATAGAAAAAAATCAATCTCTTTATTGTCGAGCCTATAATCTTACCCCCAGACCCCAGTAACGCACGTGTAGTCTGGTCATCGGAGGTTCTACATCCGCCCCAATATATATAAACATTGGGTTGGCTAGATAATAATAAAAAACCGAAACCATGAAAAATAGGGTAAAAATATATTGATATGAATGTCAAAATAAAAATAATAAAATGATATTTTTTTCTCAATCTCTACACATACATATATTTAACACATTATCCGTGGATCTAGACGGATATTTTTTGGTAAAAAGTTGATTACGGGCCTCACACAAAATATGTCTCCAAGAAGATCAATGTTATGGAGCATTTTTTGTCTCAGTCAACGGCTGAGGCTAATGAGCATGATCAAACACAAGACATGTCTTGTATTTGGACAAAGTCATCTCACTCATTTCCCCCCTGAATTACACGCTGAAGCTCCAAAAGGATATTTTTGTTGTTACACGGTAACACAATCAAACAAAATAGCAACGTTCTTAAGGACCATACAAAAATTACACTATTTTTTACGTGAATTTATGGTTGCACGAATGCCCGTCGACACCCCCTAAATCCAACTCACAACCACCGTGGCCATCACCATTTCTTGACGCAAAAACAAAAGATTACGTTACCATTTCTTGATATCCATAATTTGTCGGGATCTGAGTTTGAGTATATCGTCACATATATCTAAACCGGATAAAACTCCCAAAATTAACTATTTAATTTATGAGATCGAGATTTAAAAAAACCAAAAACACGAGTCAAGGAGAAACCAACCTTATCAGAACCGCCGTTATCTGCCACGGGAGGTGGTTGCAGAACATCGTCCTGGAAGTCAAACACCGACTGGGACGGCCTCCTACGGTGGCGACCCGCTCCACCCTGTGACATTTTTGTAAGGGAACAAAAGTACGGTGAATATGCAGCCTTGTGGGAAGAAAAGGCTTGAATATATATAAGTGTGAGACAGAAAGTTCAATTAGTTAGCCATCAACGTTGTCAGGTTAATAAAATAATTGTATTTTGTAATAAAATGTTTTATTATTTAATAAAGTTTAATATTATTTTGAATAAAAAGATATATTCGATTTAGTATAATAATCAACAAAGCATGTGAAAGTATCACCAATTGGTTTTTTATAAAAAATATTTAAAGATTTCTTTTTTGCTTTAACAGATTTTTTAATATTATATTTTCGAATTTGAAAAGATATGTCTAGTGAAAGGAAAGGGAAATAAATTTTCTTGAATATTTTTGTATATTAAAGAAAGAAAAAAATACGGTATTTTTTCAAATATATAGCATAATTAAATGGTTTTTGGTCTAGCGGTATCATAGTCTTTGGTCTTCTAGGAGGTCAGAGATTTAAACCTTACCAAAAGTAAGGAGGATATGAGTTTATTTGTTGCATTTGCTGTATATAAATATTATATACTTAAAAAAAAACATAACATAAAAAAGATTAAAATCTCTGAATTTAATGCAAAGAAAGAAAAATATTTTTTAATTGTTTCTCAAGAAAACAAAAAGATTTATATGACATTTATTCAAAAGTTTATTAAAGATATTAAATGTATTAAATATTTTAGTAATAAAATTACATTTAAAATCTTCAAAGTAGATAAAAGAGCATCTTCAACAGATTTTTTAGTTTTTCTTTTTCTAAAATAGAGAGTAAAAAATCAAAATCTTAAAAAAATATATATATTTAATTTCAATAAAGAAATTTATAATTTTTCTAAAATAAAAAACAAATAGTCAAAATATTTAAAAGAAATTACATTTAATTCCAATAAATTGTATATATTATTTTTAAATGAAAAACTAAAAGTCAAACTATTTAAAAGGAATTATATAAAATAATAATAATACAATCACATTGAGAGATATGAATAAAAAAAATTAATTTCACAATTTACACTTCAAGTTTTACGGTGCATTCTCGTAGGAAATTAGGGGGGAATGAATAAAATGTCGTGTTATCTGGTTTTTTATGGAGAAAAAAGAAATGAAGAGAGAAAAATAATGTTGATTTTCCTCCCAACTATGAGAGAAAAGAAAAGGAAATGAAAGATTAAAATATTTATAAAATTACATATTTACCCATCAATTACAACACGTTGAAAAATAATGAAGATTATATTTATAAAAACATCTTTTCTTTTTCGTTCAAGAATATGAAAAATTATTTTATTTCCTTCTATTTTCTTCATTTCCCTTATTTTTCAGGAAAAAAAAATCATTTTCTTTCCATACTTTTCTTTTCTTCTTAAATTCGAGAAAACAACGTTAATAAATTATCTGAATTTGGAGTTTTCTTTAATTTTCTTTATTTTAAAAAACAATATAGTGAATTTATTACAAAAAAACTTATTTTTTTTTATTTTAAAAAATCTATTAAAGTTGTTAAAATTGAATGTGATATTTTTAAAGATTTTGAAAAAATTAGATTTTTTTTATATAATGTTTAAATTAGTTGACTTTTTAAATGAAAAAAGAAAAAAGACGTTGAGATGGGGTTGGGTAGAGGTTATCCACAAGCGTTGGGATTCTTTTGGAGTTACTCGGATTCCTATCGATCCAAAACAATAAATATAAAACCTGATCTACAAATAATTTAATTAAAAAATTATGTTTTTCAGCTTTA